GTTTTGCTCTTGTTGCCCAGGCTGGAGTGCAATGGTGCCGTCTTGGCTTACTGCAGCCTCCACCTCCTGGATTCAAGCAATTCTCCTGCCTCAGCCTTCCAAGTAGCTGCGACTACAGGTGCCCACTACACCCAACTAATTTTTGTGTTTTTAGTAGAGATGGGGTTTCGCCAGGTTGGCCAGGCTATTCTCAAACTCCAGACCTCAGGTGATCCACCTACCTCAGTCTCCCAAAGTGCTGGGATTACAGGCGTGAGCCACTGTGCCTGGCCAATGAGATAATATTTTTACAGGGTGTCAAGTAATAGTTTTGTCATATGTTATTTCTTTCCCTTCCAATAGATGTGCAGTGGTCTATAACAATCTCATTGTAAGAACATATTCTCAAGAGATTTTCTGTATACTAGTAGTCCTTGGTGTCTCCACAAAACAAAGGGTTCTTTGGTCCTTTGGGAGGGTCCTTCACATGCTCTCTGTCCTCTTTTCTAGTCATAATACACGTATGCACACTAAAGTCTCTGAAATACAGAGGTAAATAAGATAGTTTACCTAGCATTTTCCAAACTTAATACACAAGGAAAGGATTATTTAACACCTGTTAATAGTTCATTACCTTAGTGTTTCAGGAAACACAACTTTACAAAAAGTCCAAGGGACTATCTCCTTTCCTACTCAGTATTTGCTGAAAGGATAGTAAAAAGCGAGCATTTACCCTTAGGTACATTGTAACAAGATTAGAACTTCTGGTTATAAACTACCAGGTAAGGCATAATTTACCATAATTTTTGTTCACTTTTTTTTTTTTCCCCATTTATTTATTTTATTGCATTTTAGGTTTTGGGGTACATGTGAAGAACATGCAAAATTGTTGCATAGTTCTCAGCAAACTGACAGAAGGGCAGAAGATCAAACACCGCATGTTCTCACTTGTTTTCGTATATCCCATTTTAGTTTTATACTGTAGGCAGTAAAGCCACCTGGTTTTTTCTCTTTGCTTGGAAATATAATGGGTTGTTAACTAGATTCCTTTTTATCATAGAGTACTAGTACTAATTACATTTTAAAAATGTTTAGTCATTTGCAGTGTGAGACTTGCATAAAATTCCATAAATCAAGAGTTTATAGATACTTCAAACATAGATATTTTTGGTTATATTGATGATTATACTACACGAGTTTCTACATACATTGCATTGCAGAGGAGAGCGTACCTAAATATGGAATAGTACTTTTACAGTGTATAGAATGAGATTTACCAAGTTACTGCAGTGAACATCACCATTGTTTTGTCATAACTTTTTAATACTGTTATATATATTGACTTATAAACAAAATGATTTTATTTAATTGGAGTGTGAAGTAGCTCATTTCTTTCTCCCACTATTCATTGCCATACCTAAGTGAATGTGCCAGTTTTTACTAACCCTCTATTAAGAAATTGAGTGGGCAAAGAAGGCATCTGTGCACTCTGCTACTTAACAGTTCAACCAAAGACAACTTTGTTTAAGGTTTATTGTGCTGTAAACAAACTATTTGCTTATGCTTATTCCTGTTACTTTTTTCAGTGCTAGACTTAGGTATGTCTGCATAGTCATAAAGGGTGTTATATAACTTAGGGACGGACTTCTCAGGTTTAGCTACTCAGTTTAGTGCCTCCTTAAACATTTACTTTGCACATCTAGGCAAATTAGACTTAACAGATAATTAGAATTTTTTTTAAGGATTATTGTATGGCCTCAAAAACAGTAAAGCTAAAGAAAAGGAAAAAGGAAGATTCAAAATAAGTTTTGCACTTAAAAATCACTTCTGGCTGGGTCCAATGGCTCATGCCTGCAATCCCGGGACTTTGGGAGGCTGAGGCGGTAGGATTGTTTGAGGCCAGGAGTTCAAGACCAGCCTAGTCAACAGAACAAGAACCTGTCCCTACTTAAAGAAAAAAAATCACTTCTTGGCTGGGCGCTATGACTCATGCCTGTAATCCCAGCACTTTGGGAGGCTGAGGCGGGTGGATCACAAGGTCAAGAGGATTGAGACCATCCTGGCCAACATGATGAAACCCCGTTTGTACTAAAAAAAAATTAGCTGGGTGTGGTGGCGTGCATCTGTAGTCCCAGCTACTCAGGAGGCTGAGGCAGGAGCATTGCTTGAACCCTGGTGGTGGAGATTGCAGTGATCCAAGATCTCCCCACTGCACTCCAGCCTGGCAACAGAGCAAGACTCTGTCTCAAAAAAAAAAAAAAAATCACTTTTGTAATGATTTAGCTAGAGAGAACAAGCATTTTTATAGTGGTTTTCATTTATAACATAGGACTAAAATGTACTTAATCATTTTAAAAGATATATTGGGAGAATAAGGTAAAACTAAATAGCAGATTCTTTTCTGTTTGGCTGAACAATTGATTACCTGTTACCTTCTTAGGCCTCTTTGCACCTCCACGTGCCTTCAGTGCAATCTGACGAGCTGCTTCACAGTAAACACTCCCACCCACTTGACTCAAATCAGACTTCAGATGTCCTCAGGTACAGCTCTTTTACCATTAACGGTTTGTCACTGCAACTTTAAAAGAATATAATGTTGGTTCTTATATATTTTTCTCATTTTTGGCAAGAATTTATAGTCGTGTACCAATGGATATCTAGATATGCACTGCTTTTCTAACATGAGTAATCTACTTTTGAGAATAATTTTTATGGAAATTGCTTATCTTTTACCCCAAGGACTCTCTGTTGCATACTTTGCACTCTTTTTTTAAGGTGACTTTGAGTCTTAAATGCCATAATAGAAAACCGCTGGCTGGGCGCAGTGGCTCATGCCTGTAATCCCAGCACTTTGGGAGGCCAAGGTGGGTGGATCACATGAGGTTGGGAGTTCCAGACCAGCCTGACCAGCATGGAGAAACCCCATCTCTACTTAAAAAAAAAAAGTGCAAAATGAGCCAGGCGTGGTGGCGCATGCCTGTAATCCCAGGTACTTGGGAGGCTGAGGCAGGAAAATAGCTTGACCCCGGGAGGTGGAGGTTGCAGTGAGCCAAGACTGCGCTGTTGCACTCCAGCTTGGGCAACAAGAGTGAAACTCCGTCTAAAAAGAAAAAAAAAGAAAACTGCTTCCACAATCGACGTTGGAGATAAATACATGACTTACACAGTTTATTTACTTTTCAGGTTTGTTTTGGAACAGTACAATGCACTCTCCTGGCTAACCTGTGACCCTGCAATCCAGGACAGACGCTCATGTCTCCCAATTCATTTTGTGGTGCTGAATCAGTTATATAACTTTATTATGAATATGCTGTGATCTTCATTTGATGGAACTGTGCAAGAAAAAAACAAGGAAAAATGGATATTTCGCTGCAGGGTTAAGTTACAATTATTTTCTCAGTGAAAGTCATTTGTGATGGGGCCTAATTCTTACTACTTCAACAAATATTGTTTTGACTTAGGGGGAGGGGCTATAACCCTGCTATTTTTCATTGACTCTACTGAACTCTTTAGGATAATGACCGATCATACAAAACGTATTATAACATTTTCGTAGCAAAATTAACCTTTTTTTTTCCAGTCACAGTATTTGTGAAAAGTAATGAGCCATAGTACCCAGTCATGTTAAATGAATATTAAAAGCATGGAGAGGAAACATGAGGAACAATGAATTTCAACATATGGCTTCAGAACATGAAGATGTTCTTGTATTGGATTATAGTATCTAGTATTCAAAAATGCCTGCATCTCTTATTTATTGTAAGTTTTTAAATGTATAAATTGTCTTATATTTCTTAACCTCTTTTATAAAAATTTTCCTAGAAGGTTTATACTGCCTTCTTGCTTTAAAGCAATTGGTCTAAAATATATGTAATCGTCTTAATTAAAAAGTTGCAGTAGGGTTGCTTTTAGAGTATTATTTTTTTGTAAGGGGGTGGGTGGGACAGTAAATTTGTATTGTCTCAATGTACAGTTTAACGGGGATAGAGGGGGAATAATGTCCATACCATTGTGTGTGGAGGATTTACAGCTAAGCTGTAGTTGCAGAGTACATGTACAGTAATGAAGTTCACTGTGTTTATAAATTGAAAAGGTACCAGGTCTTACAGCATTTTATATATCACATCTTTACAGAATAACATGATGGCAATATACAAGTGGTATTGTTAGGTGGTTTAACTTAGAATAAAATGAGAATTCTTCAGTTATATTTTGTACTATGGTTTAGGGCTATGACTAATATTTCAGGCCATTTCCAGTGAAAGAAACTTAGTTTTACAAGAAAAACATTTGCTACTGAATGCTTAAACTAATTTTGGTGTTTAATGTTACATGCTTAAATTTTTTTCAGTTTTAACAGTGGCACATTTAGGCATGGGAATATTATTAATTAAGAAATTTATCTTCATGGTCTGCTATAAGGTTGAAATTTAGCCCAGCTCTAGGCATTTAACAAATTATTTTACAAGCAGTCACTCTTGATTGTTTGACTTTTTTTTTAATTAAAAATTGGGAATGTATGTGAGAGTATGCATATGTATGGGTGTGTGTGTGCGCGCAATCAAACTGTGGTGTAAATAGATTCTCAGTGAATTCTGGTATTCAGACTCTATTCCACTAGTGAAAGAACCATTTTCTAAACTCCCTTGCCTTTTTTATTTATTTAATTTTCTTGGTTTGGAGATGTCAGTCCCAAACACCAGAGTCTGTACTTTTCTATAACACAGCTCAGATTAAAGTAGTGCATATGTCAAGGAGGTTCTCACCTCCCTAAAGAAGGGACTTGAATTTTAGGGACTTTAATTGACCCCTCCTTCAATACAACTTTCCCCCTTCTTGTTTGCACATGCCAAGATAACTGCTTTTATGCAGGCTTTACCCCCTTAAAAAATCCTTTCTACAGTGCTGCTCACAAAAGAGCCCAAGTTCGCCTCCTACCTGCATTGCTGACTTGAATTCACAGTCGCCGAGTCTACCTATCTTTCTTGGAAGCAGTCTAGCAAAATTCCTATTTGTACATTCACTAATTATCACAAGGACAAAATCAGTTGTATTTACAAAACTCTAATTCAGTGTTTTGTTTTTTTTTTAACTGAAACTTGTTTTGTGAATACTCTATGCTTAGAATTAAATATAACTTTCTTATGAACAATATAACTTCTTCAGATTACGTATATGAAAACATTAGCAAATCTTGTTTTTTCTATGAAGCAAACAATTGACAAAGGTTTTCAATCATTTCTTCAAAAGTATAATGCAATCCCAATGGTCAGCATATTTTGATATTAAATTTAAAGATCACGTCTCTGCATTTGTTTTTAAATTATGCTAACAACACATATTATATTGGTATGTTTTCTTCTGTACTTTATTTAAAAAAAACTTGTCTGAGATTTGAAGGAAAAGATGCTTATTTGGAATTTCCATAAAAAGTATCCTTTTTATATACTTAATAGTGACTTTACAAAGTAAAAGCTATATTCTCAGTTATTTAAAATCACTAACCTGTGGTAACCACACCTGAGTTTGAAAGTAGATTTAAAATTATTCCCTGACAGATTATTTAAAATGGAGCCATAAGGAGGGAACCCAGAATACAATTCTTTTTTATTTGGGAATCAGGGAATACTGCCCAAATATACAGGATTTATGGATAAGATTTTTTTTCTTCCCTTCATCTATCCATTCACACTCAAAAGAAAGTTATTAAATAACCATTATAAAAGTTCCATAGACTTATTTGAGAAATTAAGCCTCTTGTGCAGGATGGATTTAACTTAGTAATGTACTGTCACAGACAAGTATGGGTAGTTTTGTTTAAATAGGTAAGCAAAGTATTATACTTTATAGCAGTGGGTTACCAACACCTTGACTTCTTTGTTACAGTGCTAACATCTTTCTTTTGTGCAGTTATTCATTATTATTAAACAGGGAGGAAGTTCAGTAATTCAGCATTTAAAAAAGATTAGTTATATAATGTCTGCTTCCAGCCAGTGAGAAACATCTAGCCATACCTTTCTTATGCAAGCCATTCAGTTATCAGGACTGTGAATTAACACTGTATGAATAAATTTCTGTACACCTTATTGTTTGGCCAGAGGCCACCAAGTGTACTTATATGTAATCCTTAAATTTTAAAGTAGCTGTAATTTTTAAATATTTCTAAACTTTTCTTAAACCACTAAAATTAAGCTCTTACTACTTAGTCAACTATCCTCAGCTGTATTCGTACTCAATTGTCAGTATGGCACAGATTACTGTATTAAAATATTCTCCTTTCGTCTTCACATTTACCTTCTGAGGTAATTTTTTAACTTAATGTGTTACTACAAAGATTTGCAGATCTTTAATCAAGCACTATGTTAATACTGTAATATCAGAATACTATGTTGCATTATTTAAAATGTTCAAATTGAATAGATTAAAAAGTTTTTAAATGCTATTGCATCATATAATTTGCTATTCATCCACTATGACATTGCATATCAATCAGTTAATACACTTAATGTTGCATGAGTGATATTTTGGTCTGGGTTTCCTCTTAAGATTTTAGTTTGTCTGAATTAAGGGAAAATGTTTTTAATATACATTCGTATTTTGTCCCACTCCTTCAAAAATGAGCTGGAAATCTTTTTGGTGTTTTTTTTGTTTTTTTTGGTGTTTTAATGGGCCCAGAACTGTGGTTTAAATTTTTATATATGTGTTTTCTTTTTTGTGGAGTATAAATTTAAAACTGGATTTGGGACCTAAAGTACTCCTCAGGTTGATGTATTCATGAAGTTTTAAACTAGCTTTAGTTTTCAAAGTAAACTGGATATGTGGACCTTAAAGTTATTGAGTTTAAGCTGCAAATTGTAACGTCATTACTGGACATGTCAGCATCAACCCTCTCAAAATAGCTTGGTCACTTTATGAAGGGGCGTTTTAAAGTTGTTGTTTAGCAGTGACATTTAATATGGTCCAATTGCTTTTCTTTTTAACGTGACAAAAAGAGAATAAGGAACAAACACTATTGCTGCCGAATGCCATAACACTGAGTTGTACAAATTGTGATTGAGGAAATGAAAAGGTTTATACTTTTTAAAAAAAAAAAACAAAAACAAAAAACAAAACTTCAAATGGAATAAATTATTCATGAAGCCTTCATTGTTGTGTCTTATTCTGTTGAAAATATTTTCATTTTAAATTTGTACAAAAATTAGTAGCAGTATTTTTGTGTCATTATAAATGGAAAGAGACAGCCTAGAAACTGATTAAAGGTATTTAATTTCTCTGAAGTATTTTATTTTAAAAAGGATTTTAATCACATATCAACGTACACTATGTAGGATTATTGTGTATTTATATACCTACCAATTTCTTGTAGGCTGGCCAGTTAGCTATTGTCTAGTCCAAATATTTCAAATATTTAAAGCTTAGCTGTGTCCTATTTTTATTTGATCGTAAGAATGTTTAGAAGTGAATAATCCTTCAAAAATAGCTCTGCCCATGTTCTGTAAGCACACATTTGAAATATTTGTTGCCAGGCATGAGGGCTCACAGTAATCCCAGCACATTGGGAGGCCAAGGCAGGCAGATCACCTGAGGTCGGGAGTTCAAGACCAGCCTGACCAACACAGAGGAACCCCGTATCTACTAAAAATACAAAATTCGCCGCGAGTGGTGGTATATGAGGCAGGAGAATCACTTGAACCTGGGAGGTGGAGGTTGCAGTGAACTGAGGTGGCAGCATGCAATTCTAGCCTGGGCAACAAGAGTAAAACTCTGTCTCAAAATAAATAAGTAAAAATAAAATATTTTTGTCCAGACTTAAGCCATGAAAGGACATACCTCAAAATTACTGTGATCATTTTGAAATAGTTTTTCCTGCAAAAATTTTAAAAATTATCCTTTAAAAGTTGTATGTTGTTAGACACTAGCATGCCATACCATTGGTCAGGTGCTGACTACAAGGTGGCGTCTCTTCTGGTAGTGAAAGCATTGTTGGGACCAAAATGTTTAAAAAAAAAAAAAAGTTGTATGTTGTTTCCTCAGTTATTTTCTGTCTCCCAGATCTTTAATCAAGCACTATTATATTACCTCTGATTTGCTTCTACCTTTTTTTTTTATTATAGTCTTACATATATCAAAAAAGAAACTATGCAAATCAAGCTTTTTTTTTTTAAAGGGAGTATTCACTTGCACAACTACACAGATGAATATTTTTATTTTAAACTTCAAAATCTATGAAAGTTTAGGAAATGGGAAAAAAACACATTAATTCAGCTACAGCCACAATGGAGCACCAATATGTATTAGTACATTGATAATTTTGGTACATTTGAAAATCTGGAATACCAAACGATCATAGCTCACTGCAACCTTGAACTCCTAGGCTCAAGCAATCCTCCTGCCTCAGCCTCTTGAGTAGCTGGGACATGCCACCATGCCTGGCTAATTTTTAAATTTTTTGTAGAGATGGTATCTCGCTATGCCTGAGCTGGTATCAAACTTGTGGCCTCAAGCCATCCTCTCGCCTTGGCTTCCCAAAGCATTGAGATTACAGGCCTGAGCTGCCAAACCTGGCTAAATATGTCTTGAATGTATTCCTGAAGTGTCTGTTCTGTTATTCTGCTTTTGCCAACATCTTCCTGTCTACTGTAGGGGAATTATCCTGGATTGAAGATTAAGAACCTTTACTCTTAGAGTACTACAGCTATAATCAGAAATTTTGCTTGAGGTTAATAGAAACTGATACTGTTAGAGCTGGGTTTGTTTTGTCTTGTCTCTCTAGAGCAACCCAACAGAACTGTCAAGAATGGCGTTCTGTAAAGCTTAAAGGCTAGGTTGGGCACAGTGACTCACACCTGTAATCCCAGCACTTTGGGAGGCTGAGGCAGGCAGATCATCAGAGCTTGGGAGTTCGAGACCATCTTAACCAATATGGTGAAACCCTGTATTTACTAAAAATACAAAAATTAGCTAGGCTGTGTTGGCATGTGCCTGTAATCCTAGCTACTGGGAGGCTGAGAATCGCTTGAACCCAGGAGGCAGAGGTTGCAGTGAGCCGAGATTGTGCCACTGCACTCCAGCCTGCACTCAAAAACAAAAAAAAAGTTTAAAGGCTGATGCTTTAAAGACTTCCTTATTTTGCTACTACCTACTACAGAGAAAAAAAAAATCTAAGTGATAAATTTGGATCATGCCATGTGTCCAAGCCACATAATGTCTTACAGACTTGGATTCAGAATGCCTGAGTTTAAGTCGTGGTTTTGTCATTTCTTTTTGTTCAGAGCTTATCACTAAAACCAACAGTCTTCTACAAAAACGACTTGGTCCCTAGAGAACAACCATTTGTCCCTTGTCACTGCATAGCACTACTGTCTATCCTGTTGTGCAAACCACAAACTTCCTTGTAGCCATTCATCAAAAACTATCAGTTTTGTGTATTGACTATCAAATATGTTCGTTTCTATTTCTGCTCTCCTGGTCTTCATCTAAATTAGCATTATCCATTGTCACATAATGTATTAGATAAAACTACCTTATCTGAGTGGACCACTGCAATATACAGGTACTCCTATCTGATCTCTACACTCACTATGGTCCTTGCTAGCTAAAAACCTTTAGTGGCTGCTGCTTGCTCTAAAGATGAATACAGACTCAAAATGGGCCTCTCTCCGTTTTCCTCCTGGCTTTTTAGTCATTTGGGTTCCTTGAAAGCCACGTGGGTATTTTTTACCGTAAAGCCTCCACCTGATTTCCATATACACCCTTGCTTCAGATCAGGCTCCCTTGTTACACACTCAATACCCTAGATGGAGCCTTTGTAGTGGGTTTTTTGTGTTTTGTTTGTTTGTTTTGGTGACAGAGTCTCACTCTGTCACCCAGGCTGGAGTGCAATGGTGTGATCTTGGCTGACTGTAACCTCCACTTCTTGGGTTCAGGTGATTCTTCTGCCCCTGCCTCAGCCTCCCAGGTAGCTGGGACTACAGGTATGTGCCACCATGCCAGCTAATTTTCTGCATTTTTAGTAGAGACGGGGTTTCACGATGTTGGCCAGGATGGTCTCGATTTCTTGACCTCGTGATCTGCCCACCTTGGCCTCCCAAAGTGCTAGGATTACAGGCATGAGCCACCGTGCCTGGCCTCTTTTTTCATTTTGTTTTGTTTTGTTTTGTGCTCTTATTGCACAGGCTTGGAGTGCAGTGGTGCGGTCTGGACTCACTGCAACCTCCACCTCCCAGGTTCAAGCCATTCTGCATCAACCTCTTGGGTAGCTGGAATTACAGGCATGGGCCACCACACCCTGCTAATTTTTATATTTTCAGTAGAGATGGGGTTTTGCCATGTTGGCCAGGCTAGTCTTGAACTTATCCCCTCAAGTGATCCTCCCGCCTCAACCTCCCAAAGTGTTGGGATTACAGGCGTGAGCCACCCTCACGTGTAGGGTTTTTCATAGTTTATAATTGTATGATTTTTTTTTTAATTTATTTTTGAGATGGAATTTTGCTCTTGTCACCCAGGCTGGAGTGCGATGGCACAATCTCAGCTCACTGCAACCTCTGCCTCCAGGTTCAGGCAATTCCCCTGCCTCAGCCTCCCCAAGTAGCTGAAATTACAGGCGCCTGCCACCCTGCCTGGCTAATTTTTTGGTATTTTTAGTAGAGACAGAGTTTCACCATGTTGGTCAGACTGGTCTCGAACTTCTGACCTCAGGTGATCCACCTGCCTCAGCCTCCCAAAGTGGAGGGATTACAGGCGTGAGCCACCATGCCTGAGCTATAATTATTTGTCTTCACCAGACAACTCTATGTGGGCAGGAAGTAGGTCTATTTTGTGCATCATTGCATCTCCAGAGTCCAACACAACACCTAGCATTGGAGTAAGGCACTTAAATATTTTTTAAAAAAATTTTTAAGAGACAGGGTCTCCCTCTGTCGCTTAGGCTGGGGTGCAGTGGCACCATCATGGCTCACTCTAATCTCAGCCTTCTGGGCTCAAGCAATCTTCCCACCTCAGCCTCTTGAGCAGTCAGGACTACAGGTGTGTGCTAGCACACCTAGCTGATTTTTGTGTTTTTTGTGGAGACGGAGGTCTTGCCATATTGCCCAGGCTGGTCTTGAACTCCTGGCCTCAAGCAGTCCTCCCATCTTGACCTCCCAAAGTGCTTGGATTACAGGTGTGAGCCACCA